GTTATTTATTCTGACCACATCATATTGAATTTTTGTAAAAAAAAAAAATTACACCAAAATACAGTAATTTAAGGGGGCTTTAAAATATTTAAGGAGGGCTCCAGCCCCCCTAAAGTAGGCCTAGTGATGCCCCTGCTCTGTATCAACTGTTTATCAAGGAGTCCATGCAACAATGGTGGACGGACTGACTTCCTTCCTTGATTGATTGATTGTCATTTTTCAATAATATTTTTTTGGTAACAGATATTCAAGGGTGCACAAGTAAACGGTGAGAACTGTTCCCTGAAAAACACAATCACTCTTTCCACAACACGTGCAAGTATGGCAAGCATTTATATCACAACAAACTTTGTAGTTTTGGTAATTATCATTTCAGAAACCATTTATTTATTAAATATTCCTGAAATTAAGCATCATAGCACAGCCCACTGAAAAGCTAGTTTTGAGTGTTACACATGCTGGTTCAGCTCTCACCCTTTTCCTGTTTCTTTCATTTGTTACAGTTTTAGCTAATTATATATGATAATTTTTAGCTCATTCGGAAGATGGGTGGCTATGTTTTTCTACTGTTTTACTTTCATAATATTAACTTTATTGTTTCTTATCATTTAATAACAATAATAATCCATTAGTCTTATATAGCTCTATTCAATACCCTCAAATATGCTTTACAATTTTCATTGATCATTCATTCACACACTGATGATAGTAAGCTACATTGAAACCACAGCTGCCCTGGGTCACACTGACAGAGGCGGGGCTGACATACTGTGCCACCAGGCCCTCTGACCACCATCAGTAGGCAAGGGGGGTGAAGTGTTTTGCCCAAGGACACGACGATTGAAACGGCTAGACTGGGGATTGAACCAGCRACCTTCYGGTTCCTGAATGACTCCCCTAACCACTCTGCCACGGCTGCCTCAAATTTATTGAAACATTCTGCTTCCTTTAGCTATAATAAGTTTTGAGATAACTTTCTGAAATGTATTAAACCTTTAGTTTGACACATTACATGTTATTTTTTCACAGATTGGATGAAAGAATAAAATAAGACTATATATATACGTCCTCAAAAAATTAGCATACTGTGATAAAGTTCATTATTTTCCGTAATGTACTGATAAACATTAAACTTTCATATATTTTACATTCATTGCACACCAACTGAAGTAGTTCAAGCCTTTTATTGTTTTAAWATYGATGATTTTGGCAAAAATGTRAAGAAAAAMCAAAARTCCCTATCTCAAAAAATTAGCATATTTCATTTGACCARTAAAAGAAAAGTGTTTTTAATACAAAAAAAGTCAACCTTCAAWTAATTATGTTCAGTTAAGCACTCAATACTTGGTTGAGAATCCTTTTGCAGAAATGACTGCTTCARTGCRGCGTRGCATGGAGGCAATCAGCCTGTGGCACTGCTGAGGTGTTATGGAGGCCCAGGATGCTTCGATAGCAGCCTTAAGCTCATCCAGAGTGTTGGGTCTTGTGTCTTCAGCTCATCCAGAGTGTTGGGTCTTGTGTCTTAAGCTCATCCAGAGTGTTGGGTCTTGTGTCTCTCAACTTTCTCTTCATAATATCCCACAGATTCTCTCTGGGGTTCAGGTCAGGAGAGTAGGCAGGCCAATTGAGCACAGTAATACCATGGTCAGTAAACCATTTACCTGTGGTTTTGGCACTGTGAGCAGGTGCCAGGTCGTGCTGAAAAATGAAATCCTCATCTCCATAAAGCTTTTCAGCAGATGGAAGCATGAAGTGCTCTAAAATCTGATGGCTAGCTGCATTGACCCTGGCCTTGATAAAACACAGTGGACCAACACCAGCAGCTGACACGGCACCTCAGACCATCACTGACTGTGGGTGCTTGACACTGGACTTCAGGCATTTTGGCATTTCCTTCTCCCCAGTCTTCCTCCAGACTCTGGATCCTTGATTTCTGAATGACATGCAAAATTTGCTTTCATCCGAAAAAAGTACTTTGGACCGCTGAGCAACAGTCCAGTGCTGCTCTCCATAGCCCAGGTCAGGCA